TTCGTGGAACGTATCGTTTGTTTCAATTTTAACATTTGTGTAGTAATCGTTCAGTTATCCGAACACTTTAAAAATTTTTCTGCCAAGGGGTAAAATTTAAAAGCTAGGTCGAAGAAATAGATTAAAGACACAGTGTTCAGTAATAAAAAATCATTCACGTCTTTTACAGATCTTTTATGAACTTACGAAATTAATTTATTTGGCAATTGAAAATATGAAAATTTTAGGAAAAATAAATGGCACGAATTGAGAAATTTATTTTAAAATGTAGCAATATTAATTAACAGTTTTCCTTTATTAGAGCAAAAAATCATACATAGTTTTGGCTTGACCACCCTGTATACTTGATCACAACCATACGCGTATTCCGTCACACACGTAACTTTAAGTATTGGTAGGATGCAGGAGTTTCGTTTCATCCTACTTGTTGGGCAGGGTCCTTCGAGTGGCCAAGAGTAAAGGATTCCTCCTTTTTCTATCAACTTTCCTATCTCGCTTCTGCCTTCTTCTAGAAGCAAGAAGGGGATTGTTTGCTCTTTCTATCCCTTCCTTTCTTCTTCGACATCCCTTCTTCTTCGAGCCACTCTTCCTTCTCTGTTCCTTGAATCTTTGGCCCGTCTACGCCCCACGGGATCCTGCCACCCCGTCGACCGAACCTCAGATTGCTTTTATACCGTGGATTGATTGACAATATACTTACGTTAGTCGAGTGGACCGTACAGTTATGGAGACGGTCAGATCCCCCTATTGCCCTCTCCTCTTTCTTCTTCTTTTCTTCCTTCTCTCTGCCTCTTCTCTTTGGCTCTACCTAATGTGATCCTCTTTCCTGTATCGGGCCACCGCTGCGGGATATTCCTTCCCCTTTCTCTTTTTCTGTTATTTTCCTTTTTTTTTCTTCGCTCCTGCTAAGTGGACCATTTTCTGGTAATACACCAGGCATAAAGGAGAAAAAAGAGCTTCTTTCGTCTATATAATACTCGTTCTTTGTTTAGCCTTGCTCGAGTTATGCAATGATTAATTTAATAAATGTATTTAGAGGAGATGAAATTTCCATTTTCCTCTTGGAGAAAATATATTTTTTTCCACTGTATGAATTTTTGTTCGTTAAAAATGATACTGTAGTTTGTTTCGTGCTGGTGGAATTATTTCGTGGGTAGAGAATAAAAGGACAATTCCGGTTTGTTTTTTTTTTGGAGGAAGAAAAGGGTTCCGTATGGTGTATCGTAAATCCATTGTCGGTACGTTGGGCTATCATGAATTGTATCCTCGGAGAAAGTGAATGAAAGACAAAGTGCACCCTGGTGAATCCATTTCCTGCGATCTGGTCTGTCCACAGACTCCTATATTGCGTCGTAAATCTCCCTAGCTGAGGAACGATGAACTGCAAACTGCAAATTTTATCTTGTATCTTTGTTACCACCTGCCCACCATCCGGACGAATCGTCTTTAAGTAGTTTAAAGTGTTTATGTCAATCGGACGTGTACGCCGAGTCGACGGTATCAATTGATAAAGCTTATCGCGTGAAAAATCCTGACGGAGGGGTCGGAAGTTGGAAACTTGTAAAAATCTTGCTGGAAAGTCCGAAAGTGTCCTTCCTTGGGATTCGAGAGAGAGGGGCTAGGCTATTCATTGAATTCAGAATGCGTTTGGAGAGTCTCTAGTCCCCTCTTTACCTTTTTCCATTCTCAGGAAAAGACGTATGAATCGTCGACGGATGGTTGCGGTTCCCTGAGTGTGAGACACTTTAGAGGCTATGTCCCCGGAATACGTAACTCGGGATTTTGAACCCGCATTCTTTCTCATCCTTCTTCCATCTGCACTCTACTCCTTTTTCTTCCAATTTCTTCGTTTTTTTTTTCCTTCACTACTTAGGTTAAAATCGAATTATTCTGTTATGCAAACGGTGAATTTATCGGCTTGTTGGTTCGACCGGTATGTCTGACTAAAGTTTGACTGGTACTACTGAAAATTCAATTGTCTCGCTAAAGTTTGACCAATACTACTAGCAATTTTATTTAACACTTTGTCGGCCAGTGTCGCGTATTTGTGATTTTGGAATTTAATTTATGTTCGTTAGAAATTTTTAATTTGTTAATAAAAATGATAATTTTGTCAAAAGAAATCTAAAATTACAAAATCTATCAATTCTATAAAATTCATAATTATCAGAGTGTTAATTTACTTACTTTAATTCCAAGAATTGCATAAAATATCAAAATGTCATTATGGATGGTAAATTTTCTTTGGTATTACACTGGTAATTTATTCTTGACAGATAATACCCGGCCAACATCGGGGGACATGTTTATTACGTTGAATCGCGATTATCATTACGCCTGGTGCGTGGAATAATGAAAACTTTATGATGAATTTAATTTTGAAGTAACTAAATTTTATATTATGTATGATGACCACGTTACGGTTAAGCTGTTGTATAATTATGTTTCAACGTTTCTATATGAATATTAAATGTATTCATTTTGAATAGTTATAATTAATCGTATGCAACGCGCTATTACGAGGGCGAAACTGTGGCCAGAGAATGTGGAAAAACAAAAAATCCATACAATATCGCGTGCAGGTAGCATGCAGAAGGTATTACACAGGTGGATTCAAGATAATATCGTAATTATTACTATGACAATAGTTGTTTACCTGACTCGTTATTTTCTATCAGATTAAAACTGATAGAAATTAATTTTCTTTTATGGAAATAAATTAGGTATTTAATCATCAAGTTTCAGAAAATAATTTGTTATTTTCTTTCTTAAATAAATGCTGAATTTGATAGAGAAAAAATTTATTATTCATTTATACACTTTATACGTGTTGCAATCGTCACAACTTCATTTCGCCTTTAAAGGATTCCGTCTGAACGCGTAACACGCCCAAAATCTTACACGTCGAGAATTTATATACGCCCAGAAACGGTCCAAAAGCATTTTGCATTACGTTTTACGATGCTGTCAGTCGTAAAATGCAGTTTAAGCGTCCGGTCTGTTCCGTTTTCGGTGTAGTATACGAGTTAAGCGAACATCTAGTAGATCGAGACGAGCATTGATCAGACAGAAGATAGATAGGGGCAATGTCCTGTAATAGGGTGAACTCTTTATAACTTTTCGTGAAAGAAAAAACATGTGTATGCAATGACACGTGATCCTATTTAAAATCATTCTATAAAAATTAAATTAACAATAAACTATACATGGTATCGAGCATTATTTAAATGAACTTTTATTTTCTTTTTAATTTCAATTCTATATTCGTTTATTTATAATTTGGGAAAGAAACATATTTATTTAAAATTAGTTTCCTACACGATTAATGTTAATTTTCCTAATTTTAAATAATTGAGTAGATAAATGCTGTATGACTTTTGAACGAAAGCTAAACTAATAAAAGTTTCAAGCAATACATTAAGAAATTAGTCACCTTGCTTATCGCAGGGCCACACAATACCCATTTTTCCTATCGTTTCTCACACCGACAACCACCTTTTTCTCTCGCTTAAGGGTGGTGTTGCAGTCGGAACTCCACCCTGATCCGCAAATATTGGCGACCCCGTAACAGCTACTCGTAAAAATCACTTGATTACAACCCCTCCCTTATCACCTCGAGGGTCTCCATAAGATGAGGCTGAAAGTAAAAAAAGTTATCCCACGACTTTTTTAATGTCCATTAAGTGAAACACTGAATTTGACATTGAAAAAGTTACTCACGATCTTCCATTCGCATATTCCTTTCAGAAGTTATTTTATTAATTTTTATGCATAAATCATTATTATAAAGGTACCTTTTTATTCTTTTTATTTATACAATCATTGAGTTTTAAAGTTAAATTTAAAATATCTATTTCATCTAATGGTATATGTATGTACATTTATCTCTATGGTTTTATCTTTTGATGATTTTTATTTTGTTTATAAAATATGCGTGTGTAATATGTAAAATAAGTTGAAAGGGGGAATTGAAAGCACGATGACAAATTTCTGTCCGAATACGCTTACGTTTGGAAACATGTGTGAAATGTAACATATTGATTAATCCCGAAATTATGATTTACAAGTATAAATTCGAACCGACGCGTTTAAATAATATTCAAGAGAAATATTGAAAGCTTTTTGCTGGTATTCCGAAGTTTGATAAAATTCATGCTTGTTTTTCAAGGAATTATAAATCATTCTACGAATTAAAAAAAAAAATAAGTGGAAATTGCTTTTAACAGTTCCAAACAACAATTACGAAGGAAAATCTTGGAGACTTTGTTCGTTTGAACGAGACAGCACGAAGTACCGTAACAAGTAATTAAGTTAGAAGGAGATTAAGAGATAAAATGTTTCTCTGTTTTATTTACCATTAAATACAGCTGGATTAATTCTTGCCATGATGAGAAGAATCTTTATTATTTCTCGAGATACGAAATCGGTAACTTTCTTTTTCTTAACCCTTCGCGGACCATCAACGCATATGTGTGTTCATACATAATTGTCATAGTAATTTATAATCCCATACATATTGTATTATATTTTTTATACAAAACACAGCTATAAGTGTAGGCAGTAAAGATTTATAATATATGCTTTAAAGAATAAAATTATTACTTCCTTTAATTTAAATTAATAATACTCTATGCAGGTTTAAGAATACTCCCTCCTCGAAGGGTTAAAGAACAGTTTTGATGAATTTTGAACAAATGAAAAATTTTGAACATTTTTTAGAGAAGTTTAAATTTCATAAAATTAATAATTGTGTACGAATATTTCTGCAACCCATTGTGTGTAATTTTTCAGTTACAATAATGACGTTCCGTTCCTTGTAACGCGTCAGCCTTGATATTTCAATAGGCAGGAACCCGATACAATGTGATCGATAAAGCGTCCATGTTGTTGCACCATTGGCAATATACCGTAAATATCGGATAGTTGCGTAATCTGTTAAGTAACTTTGATGCTGTTTACAAGTAGAAAAAATGACGTTTCTTTTAATATTTTTGTTTCAGATTCTTCTATCTCTATCACTTCTCCTTCTACGCGTATCATTATCGATTCAATGGACAGTACAGCAGTTTGGCTCTTGTTACATCTTGGCTTTTCATAGAGGTAAGCATTTCCTTCTTTTTAATTATTTTCATTGTATTACAATTTTTTTATAACACCTACATAGAAAAGAGGTGGTTAACAGTTTAATATAGTAAAAGAGGAAACTTGAACGAGTTAAAGCGAATAGAAGATAAACGTAGCACCGGTGAAAAACTTTTTCCCTTTATATTCGCACGCCTTCTTTCTCTAAATGCTTGCTCTAAAATTCTCGGAATATTCACAGTATTCTGGAACTTTGTTACCTTTGTTCTTTCTAAAATTTCACTCTGCTCACTCTCGGGGACAAAATGTTTCTAAAATAAATTATTCTCACAAGAATTTCACGTTTTTGTGAATGCAAAAATACTAGCAATATACCAAAAACATATTTTGAATCAGATTTATATGTTCCTTGAAAGAAAAAAAGAAAAGAATTCAAAGGAAACGATTCTTTTTTTCTTTGTTCGCCGTGAGAATACCTCTTTAAGAGAAGAGAAATGCGCGAACATTTTGCAAGGATGAAAGCCTGTTCTCGCAAATATGTACTCGGGTAAAATGTTTCGGGATTAAGCAGTGGTCGTGGATGGCGAAATAATTGTCGTTCGGGTAAGCTTTCCCACGGGAAAGAGGGAAGTTCTTGCAAAGGACATCGGCGGTGGGTTCGTTCGCGTTGAAAACGGGCATTAATCAGGAATACTTTGCGACCTACTTGAGAATACTTGAACGGGGAATAAATATGTTCGTGGGGCAAAGTTAACGTTCCCCGTGGTAGGAGGTGGCCAGTTATCAAAGAACCCCTGCTCAAACAACGGCCAATACGTTTGAAAATTATGTCACAGAGTACTTTTCCCCTTTCTCGTTCCGTCTACCGATCGATCATCTTTGACATCGATCGCGAGAAATTTCTCAAGAGGGCTGCAAATGTGTTTGCCTTTCAAATTGCTTAGCTCCGGATGTTCGTTGCGCGTGGAAATGTTTCCTCGTGCGGCGAGCTCGTTCGATTTCACCTTCGAGTCTGGACGAATTAAATCGATGGTATATTGTCGGAAATTTCATTCGTCTGATCAACCAAGAACATAATCATTTTTTATGAAACTATATTTTATACAATGTACAGATGTATATTTAACCCTCGAACAGCGGAGCCTGTTACGAAATTAAATTAAAATTGTGCCTCTCTCCATGGTCCGTCGTCCGAGCGAAAGAAATGAATCATAGTTGTCATAATACAAGTAGTATAAACAAGCATTGGTCGGGCACAGTGACAGGCATACAATGGAAATTTTCATTTCTTAATTAAAAATTCAAATGCTACGTTCAAATATTTTTCGTTCGAAATAAAATTATGTAAAGTGATTTATTTACGTTTGGATATTGGGTCAGATTATTTGATACATGAATAATAATGGGGTGATAACAAATTGAAATGGCTAACTTTCAGTACCCACACCTCGTTATTTAACCATTTTAAGATTATGTTTGGAAAATCGAAGACAAATAATTGAGGCCACTTTTCGATCAGTGTGTGTCTCTTTCTCCATCACAGTTTCAATCAATACATTCGCGCTCAGAGCGACATAAAAATCCTGGAGAGAAACGACTCTTCCAGGCCAGACAGAGTAGTCCAGCTTCGAGATACAAAAAAAAAAAAAAACAGAAAACAACGTCAAAATGAAACGCTCAAACCGATAGCTTAACAGAGACGAAGGAGAAGGCAGAGAAAAAGAAGAAGTAGTAGGAAGAGGGAAGGCGGGCAGAGAAGGGAGGAATGATACGGCTGAATATGGAAAATAGGTATCTCGAGACCGGGCACCTGTCGTCGACATGAAGGAAATGGTATCCACGGTGATTCGTCCGGAGTATAACGAAACGAATCTGCATCGTTTCAGAAAAAGAACACGGCTGAAAGGTAGATCGGAGAATGACGGGAGAACAGGGGATGATAGGAGATTCGCGCTCAAGAGAAAAAGGAAAGCCGAGTTTAAACGATGGCTAGACTGAAACAGGTTACCGAGGAAATCGGATTTTCGTTTGCTGGATAATCAACGGCCATGACATCGATATCGACCGGCATATAATCACGCCGTAGGGCTAATCGTTTGAACACTTATCTATACAGAAAAGGAACGACAGAGAGATTGGAACATACACAGTGTCCACACTAAACATACCTCTTATTATATTTCACGATCATTCAACGAAACAGTAAAATTATCTATCTAAAGATTGCAACCTAGAACACGGAAAATGTTTTTAGAAAATTATTTTTTTTTTTCTTATATTACAGTGATTTGAATTAAGTGATTTGAAAATGGTTTACATTGGTAAATGGCGAGACCCCTTCCGCTGCATTGTCATTTTTTCCGTGTATGCCAATGGGGAAGGGTGAGAACCGGGGTCATTACTATTTTTCCTGGGAAAGCTTGATTTGATCCCGAGTATATATAACTCCATAAATAATCTTATAATTTTAGCAAAAATTATTTTACATTTGAATTTTTCAAATTTCAAATTTTCTTCAATTTTTTCAACTTGAAGTTAAATGTTCTTTTAAAGGGAAATTTCTATATAATATTTAACAAAATTTAGTGATGCGTGTTAAAATGATTATGGTTTGGAGCGGACACCCTGTAGATCGCCCGGTTGAACTAAAAAGAGAGAGAGAGAGCTGGTGGCAATGATTAGGTTTATCCAGTCGCTTCTTGTTGCCTTGCGGGTTTTCAGATTTTCCTGCGGCTCGCTCTATTCGTAAACTCGTTCCTGAGAAATAATTTTCGATCGTAGCTTGACCCTGGCTGGTTGCTCCTGTTAACGAGCACCGCTTAACTATCGGCAGATGTTAATCGTGACCGGGACAAGAGTAAGCAACTTAATTTCCATGCTAGAGGAATAATGTCGAAATTCGTGATACCTGGATCACTGTACTTTCTGCGTGATTGAATCTACAACCATAAGTGAATAAAATTCATTGAGAAAATGGATTATTTTTAAAATGAAATGATTTGTTGAATTGAATTAAATTCAATTATTATATAAATATTAGAACCACCAAATTAATTAAAATGATGGATTTTTTATTGTTTTCTTTCTTTTTTCTTTTATGTCAATTATTGGGAAAAAATAAATTGTCACACACTTTTAATCCTCAACGGTGTCATAAAGTGGGCACACACCTTTTATCCACGTATAAAACAATCCAATCTGTTATTCATTCGTATCTTTTATCGGCTAATTAGCCGTTCCATTACACTTTAATGGTATTTAATTTTTCCACGCAAAATATATATACAGTACATATCGAACGTAGTTATTAACGCAACAGCTAGGTATTGTAACGCCATTATAATAATAACTGTTAATACGCCCATCGCGATGATCTAATTATGATTCATTGGATTATCAAAGTACGCTATCGAATCAGATTACCTGGCGTATAATTGGCGGACTGAAAAATTTATTTCTGTGCGCGAAATTCTAACCATTCGTAGATATAATACGCATAATTATGGTCTTCCAAAATTTATATTATTAGAAATAAAATAGGAGACATGACAAATTTGAGATAAATTATTGTATGGTTTTCAAATTTAAAAAATTGGCAATCATCGAAATGTAAAAAAAAAAGTTATAATATCTGCTAAATTTATTATTTTTCTTACATTAAAAATATTGAAATATAAATTTTATGAATAAAATTAAAATACTGTAAGTAAAATTGAAATAAAATTAAAAATTAAATAGCAATAAAAAACTATAAATTAAAAAATAAAGTTATCAGTAATTTTAGTCTATACAAGTTATAAATAATGACCAAAAATTATTAATTCATTTATAATAGAAGATATTATAATTTTGAGTAGAAAGTATGGATCATTAAGCAAAGTCAAGGGGACGTCACGAAGATGTATTGAAACTTGAATTTTACACGGCCAGCTAAAACTGAATGGTATTTATATTTGCTCATTGAAATACAAAGTTGCCATTAAATTATTCCCATCGATTGAACTGTCAAATGCATTGTCCTGGTTACGTTTACGTAACTTAAATTTGAGCGATGGCAGGTCTAGGCTGCAAAGCAATGGCTTTTCATTCGCTATCGTTACTGTCAATAGCAGAACTTTCATCAGGATCCTTGTAGAATCTCTTGTAAAACACACTCCTTCCATTTTACCTCATTCAACTCGGAAAATCCACTCCTCAACAACTAATCACGATTCTATTTTTCGAAAAATCAACTCTGCCATTGTTCTTAATTACGTAATTATTAAAATATACATACTACGTTACATTCTGTGGAGAATAATTATCCCTTTTACTGTTAGATATATTAACAAAGATTTTGAGGTCATATAAAATTAATACTAGTGTCATAAATGAGGAGATGGCTTAAAAAATTTCTAAAAAAGTATTTTTCATTTTCAACAAAAATAATTCTATTATTCCATTTCCTATTATATAATTATCAATCAAAGCAAAAACCATCCTTTTGCCATTTTTATGTAATAATTTTTTCGTTTATTTAAAGAAGTTTATTTTAAAATGAAATTCATCAGAGAATCGCGAATTTAATTGTCAATTTAATTCGAAACATCTCCTTATACATCAAACGTGAATAAATGTCTCCACGCGCGTAAACCAATTAATAAACACGTATCACGTATCATTAATTCGAAACGTTATTAAAACGGCTTCACTTGGTTTGCGAATTTATAGTGGCTACAGTGGCGAACATCGAAAGTGTTACGTGAAGCACACGGTCTCGTGATATCGCTTGTTTCTGCGAACAGCAGCGTATACGTGTACGTCGCTCGTGCCCAGCAAATTTATATGGAAATTCGCCAAATTTGTTCTATATCGTTTCTCTCGTTCTCTTCTCACCCTTCGTAACCCCCTTTCTCTATCATCGTTTCACTCCCCGAACGCACTACCGATCGCAATACCCTTATTCAACCGTAGTTGCAAACATTCTGCCGAGTGCATATACGATATGAATAATTTTGCATCCTTGCGGAACAAATAAAGACGTTGAAAGAATAGCAACCCTTTCGCTACTGCAACTACCACTTGATTTTTTATCATCGTTCAATTTATTAGAGATACTTTTATTAGATATTGAAAATTCTTTACAATAAAAAAATACTACACACTGTTTAGTTAACCCAGTATATTATGGAATGAATAATTTCTTCTCAATTATAAAAATAAAAATTATTCTTAGTCCATAGTACTCAGCTTCCACTCTACACTTGATTAGAAATAATCAAATCAACTGTCTTATGATTTCAGCATTCGATGCTCTACTTTTTCCACCATTACGAGTTGCCCGTGATTCTTCAACAAGCTCAGTTGCAAAATCTTCTGTTCAATCCTCAGCCAAGAATAGTTGAACGTCTGTTCGAACCTTCTCCAAGCTTGAACAGAGCATTGCCCAGCCCGGAACCATCGTCTGAACCTACTTCAACGCGTGCACCAACAGCGGGATACGAACGTACAGAGGAAACGTCTTCTTCGAGTAGCCCAACGCATTCTGAATCGGATTCAAGTACTTCTGAGGTTCAATCTCAGGAGTTGCGTGGATCTACGACCGCCGAGACGCACAATGATGTCCATCCTCAAGCGGACAACTTGGCAACGGTTCAGTCTCAAGAGCAAACTGCAAACACAGCGAAAATAGCACAGTCCAGCCATCAAGAAAGTCAAGAAGGTACGTGAAGGTAGTTTAGAATTTTTATTATTTATTCATAAATTATATATGTGTCCCATTTGCACGTGCATGTTCAGTTGCGAAACTTTCCTTTTATTGCTTATTTTAATTTTCATTTTATTTTATCAAAGAGAAATTTAATTTACTATATTTTATTAAATCATCATTTGTCGTCATTTCTCTCGAAAGTACATAAAGTATGATTAATTTTAATATGTTTACTGCTGGGGTATTCGAGTTTAGGAGAAAATTCGCACGATTCGAATTGTTTTACAGCATTGAATGTTCACTTTGTAGATCGTGTGTCGCTAATACAAAACATCACTTCAAAAGCGTTAGTATTGTTTGGCATACGATATCCATATGATCGCGTTTCAATTCGCACTATTGCACTGGCGCCGATTATTTTCCTCGCTTTTAATTTCATCCGCCACGCGTCGTTCGTTGATTCGAGCAATCGATCATCCTTTTAACGAACGAAACTGATATGTCAAATAACTTTCGTTTAATATCGTTATTAAGGACGATTTAGTTATTATAGTTCCTGTTGATAAAAAAACATATACTCTTCTAGGAAAAAAAGAATAATTTTTTAAACGATTCAATGAAAAAATTCCTTTATATAGTGAAATGAGAATAAATATCAGAGAAAATAATATTAATTACTCTTTTCACAAATTACTCTTTTGTCATATTAGTTTCATTTCAGTTTTTCCATGTACCTATTAAATTTAGTCCAATATGATTTTTCTGCAGAATATCTCTGTCAAGCTTTGCTTGGGAATAACATTCCGCTTTGTAAATTTAATGAATATTCATTGTACTTTATTTTCGTTCCATTGATCCACCGCGAAATATTAATTTTCATAAAAGACACTTTGTCGTTTTTATTCACTTTGTAATTTTCGCACTCGTGTGACGTTGTTGTTTGATACGCTTATCATGAATTTCCAAATGTATTTTCGTTACTGATTCATCATGGTTTATCATTATAAGATAAAAAAAGATTCGGTTTTAAAATTGAATTTTTGCAAAAATTTCATAATTTTATAAATAATAATTACTGCCAGTAACTAATTCAGAAATTATAAGGGGTATGGATATTATAAAATAATGTGCAAATTTTCAGATTTAATTAGCAATTTAATATAGCAGAATTTGCATCTCTCCAGCTAAAAGGTTAACAAAGTGTGATTCCATAACCGTCGACGTTCAAATTAACAGCTCCTCGACGTCTTCCTTGTCAAACGATCATTCGCCTTTTCTCTGAATTTTCGTTTTCATCGTCGTTATTTTCACCGTCCCTCCGCTAATTAGCCGCCTTATTTCGTTCGCATTTCCCTGGCTTGTGTTCGTCCCGAACAGTTTTACACCCAGCGAAGCTGAACAACGTGTTGCTTTGAATCTTAGCAACAGACGGTCTGACGACGTCGACAGCTTCGAGCACGGTTACAGAGGCGATCGAGATTACGAAGGAGGAACCGAAAACGGTGGCGGCTGGATCCGGGAACGGGAACACATCGGTCGAGGCAACGGACAATGGATCATCGACCGATACTTCTACGTCGGAAGGTTTCGAGGTGATCGAGGCGACCGAGGCGACGCGAAAGGAAACGACGTCCTGTCAGGACAAGTAGGAATGTTAAACGCCTCGAGCCATGCCAGTTGCATTGCGGATAGTCTAGGAGAAGAGAAAGGTTGTCGTTTTCAGCGTGGCTGCATCTGCGAACAGGATCGTCCCAGCGACTCTGAGATCTTAAGGATCGCAGGACGATCGATATCTTGGGTGATAGTTGTACAGGGTGATTCAGGATGGGTGGTGCATTCAGTTGCAATTTAGGCTCCCCTTAATTCAGATAATTTGTAAACCCTCCGTCTATTTATCCATGTTTTCACATGCTAGGTCCTTCCCAAACTGATGGGTCCTTTTACATTTATCCCTAATCAAAATGTTGCACTTGAATATATATGCGGTCAGAAGATGATTCAATATGAAAAAATAAATTGAAAATGACCGTATTAATTTGGAAAAATTATTTTGAAAATTGCAAATATTTACAGTCAAGAATTAAGTACATACTCGAATAATTTTCAAGTTTAATTATTTCAAAAATGAAACAGTGTAGAAACAAAATTTTATTTTATAATTTCAATTTATTTTTTAATATAGAATCATCTGTGCCCAATTGTACGATTTTACCTGACCCACCTTATATGCCTTGGATTATAAAATCGGCTGAGGAACACCGTTTATTTTATAACCGATCGATGTCTCAAAGTCGTGGACAGGTTGTTGATCTTTCGATCAGGTGTTAGGTTTTAACGAGTAACCGAGGATCGGTAGGGATGAAACAGGATAACTGATGGGCCTGGAAATATATTCTCTTACTTCTCACGAGAAGTTGACGCATGCAATATCGCGTCCCCGAGGTCGGCCAGAAAGACGAAACTCCTGAAGGAAGCGAGACGAGTTCGAAAGTTCGTTACCGTGTTTAGGGACGACTGAACGAGAAAAATGTAGATCGTAAAAGATACGAGCGAATAGGGTAGGTTTTTTATTCGGTAGCAAAACGGAGAGGCAGTTTTTAGTAATTAGATGAGTGCAAAAGTTGTGTCTGTTCAAATAATAAAATTGTTTTTTCTTTTTTTAATTTTTGTTCATTTTCTATGTGTCTATATGTTCCTCATTTCATCTTGTGACACCTTTCCAAGTGTTCTACAAAATTTTTTATTTTTAACCCTTTTATTACTATTTTCATATGATTATAATTAAAGTAGATAATTTGGCAGTTAATGAAACGACAGAACTTTTGCAATCACTATTTCAATGATTTTGATACGCGTTAATGGCTACTGAGTAATTTTATGAATATCAGGGCCAATAAAGTATAAACAGGAATTTTACCAAAAATCGTGTATTAGTTACTGTATTCTCAAAATACAAGTCGTTTTTCTACATAATTTCCTTGAAGATCTACGCCCTTTAGCTACGAGATTGGCCATTTCATAAAAAATCATGGAGTGTGTTTGACACCAATTGCACAGGAATTATTTAAAATTATTTCCAGTACAGTGCGTGGAATAAATGATTAAATTGAAAAAATAATCCAGAATTATTTTGAGTGTCCCATGAATTATGATGGGGAGTGTACGTGTCGATATCGATTCTTTCACGTGCATTTATTTAACATTTCACGTGCTTGCTGTCGAGAACAATTAAAATGTACATTTTTATGACAATCAGCAAGGTTTCCATGTTGACATGCTGGTATCATTTAAGGCGGCTGATTATTGTAATATAAGCTATATTGTATCATACGTTTTGGGGGTGAAACGTGTTGTTTTGGCGGGTCTTTGTGTCGCGAGTATAAATTAGTTAGTTAGTTAGTTGCGATTTCATTTTGAAAATGTGTTTCTGGCAAAATTAACACGTTGAATGCCATTGGGGTCGTCAATGACTAGTATTACAAATACAATATAATTCAATAACTGAAAGAAATTAAAAAAAGTTCTTAGTAGCATAGATATTATATTATTTTCATGAAGTACCACGTGGAAAATAATATTAATTACACAAGGTACCAAGTGAAAAACAAAAAGATCCTGATTTGAATAATTAAAATGATGACATGATTGACAACACGTGTCTGTTTTCAATGCGGCATTTAATGTGTTAAATTTTACTTGCTCGAATGGAACACCATGAGAACAATTGTTGAGCTGTTTTAGAGTAAGAAGGATTAATAGGTGACAGAACTTTTAAAGAGATACTTACTGCACATACATACATATATATGTATTTATTCCTAATTATATCAACGTTCTACTCTCGGTGTGTATATGTAAAAATGTACCGTGAAAAAAAAAAAAAAAAAAAGAAAAAACGAAAGGGTAAATACGAAACGTCTAGCTGGTTATACGTTTTCGTGTAAAGGGTTGTAAAATAAACGACTATTGATCGTTTTTTTTAATATCTTGGAATTCGAGCTACCCGTGTAAAATATTTTCTTAAACTACTTACTTCGTAAGAGTCTCTCTCTCTTTCTCTCTTTTGAATGTACATAATACTGCACCACAGTTAATTAAATTACCAATTGTATTACTGCTACTTTTAATGATTGATTACGAATAAATGTAAAGGTGTCGCAATTATGGTTTATTTGAACCATCCAACTCCTTATCATTTATTTATTTCGTATTCTTGAATTTAGAATTGGTTCCTTAGCACCTAATCAGGTGCTAATGACTATTTTCGGTTATCACTAATTAACGATAAATCAAATTAATAATTGCAGCTATCAAAACATAGCTGTATTATTGATTATAAATACAAATAATTACAATCAATGGGTTGAAGATTATTAAGGGTTGTAAAATGGATTATATTATTCGATTCGTCGAATTTCTTTTACTCGGAAGATCCTCGAACGAACGACTGCGGGCGAAATACGTAAGATGTAAGATTTAAAAGAGATTCCCGTGAAATTGGAATTGATTGTTCAAGCGGGACAAGCGTCGGGGTTGATCTCGGCTCCATCGAAGATGCGGGAAGCGTGAAAACGCCGAAATAGACAAATAGATAGTGGTTCGGTACCTTAAAGGGAATCAAACAGGTGGCGTTGGAAGCCGAAAAAGATGAGCAAGGTTCGGGTGAAAAGGAAGAAAATCCCGATGGAAAGGGATGAATCGAGAGAGAAGGACGTGTCTACTAAAACGACCAAACAGACACGACTGTCCTACAAATGTAACAATTTATTTTCATTACGACATAATTAGGAACGAGACCCGCGATTCGATGTCGACCTCCTCTTCTTTTACACACAGACACTACTATCTATTACACGTATACACAGTTGGAATTAATAAAATCTCCTCTGATTTTTTATTACAAAAAATAGAGCCTGACAATTTCCTCGAGTGCCTCTAATAAAAGTGAGTAGATTTCAAATAGAATATTTTATTTAAAAATTATTAGCCTAAAAAATATAAACTAGAAATAAATACAAATTTTAAATAAATTAAATATTAAAGGAAATATCGTTTTTATTTTTATTTATATACAAAATTATTTATTCTGTGAAAAGACAGATAGCAATTTTATATTGAATTATTTTCTGCTAGATTAACATCCCTCTCTATCTTCACTGACACAGTTGGACATCGACTTTAGACGAAGAGTGAACGAACTGCTTTCCGGTAGATCGGAATTGAAAAGGGCTCGCGTGAACAATACAATGGAGCGGAATATACAGTATCGGTGGGCAGCTAAAGGATTTTCGTGTGTCCCGGAAACTCGTGTACAGATTCTGCCAGGGTTAGAGGGTGAGATAGAAGAAGAGAGAGAAAGAGAAGGGAACGGGATGGGAGGGGCAGAAAGCCCACGGGGGCCAAATTTGCATCCGGCAAAGCAACCTCGGACTACTTTATTTGATTGGCTGCCCGCGGGGTTGCCTTCTACCCTTACACGTACAAGCCCAAACAAAAGTACATTCTCCTATATCTCCCCTCTTCGTTCCATTTCTTCGTTTATCTCTTTTTTTCTTCTTCAAACGTCTCATTTTTCTCTTTCGATTCCCTTTTTATTTTCTTCAGTGTCTGTCTTGGAAAATTGGAAATCTTTTGGAAAATTTGTGTCTTCTCTTTTTTTTGATTCCCACTTCGTTATTATTCTTTTTTTTTGAATATCTATTTTGATTCTTCTATATTTTTTAAGTCCGTTTCTGATCTGCTTTTCTCCTCTTCCTTTGACCTCGCTGGTTCTTTCGTTTTCCTTGAAATAGTCCCAGAGAAAACGGTTTGCGATTTGCGGACCACGTTGGAACCCCTTAAGCCTTCTTAGAACATTTCCTTCTGCATCTTGAATCGGATCTACGCCGCAAAAGAGTGGGACAAGCTTGAATCTCTATAATACTTCCTACGACTGGAAGTATCGACTGTCTGAACAAACACCGACCAACGTATTTCTTCGATCCTTTGGTCAACAGGTTGTTTGTATCTTGAGGAATAACGGGTTAATTTTTTCTTTACTACGTGAATAAAAATTATTTTCTTTATCCTATAACCCTTGCATTACCAAAATGGTAAGGAGTTACTTTAAGACCACCGTGTTACAAAAATTCCCACTAAAATAAGTGTTTGCAACAGTAAGTTTATAAACCTTTATTCTTAAATATATTAAAAATATAAAACTTTAATAAATTATTATAGAAATATATTCTTCAAAATACTTGGTATCGCAAATATTAATAACAGACATAATTTACTTACAATAATTTTCATTTCATTACATAATTTTCAAATACATTAAAAATATAAAATTTCAATTAATTATCATAAGCATTTATATTTAAAAATACATGGTATTGCAAGGGTTATTAATAAATAACGAAAATTCTTATCATTATTGAAAAATAATTAACGGAGAAAATATTTTTCCATCAACGTATTTTATAGAATATTTCAAACGTATCACTGAGTCGCCTAATCGTAACGGGTCTTAATCCGATGTTTACATTTTTGTCGCGCCGAGTTCCAATTGCGATACACAGGTTCTTATTGAATTTGCAGGTGTTTACCTTTTAGTCTTCGCTGAACCACGACTCGGGAATGTCGTGTTCGATTATCGCGTGCATGGAAACGTTATACACAGATAAAATATCGTTTCTAAGTGTAAAATCATTGGTGTGCTTGATCGGTGGGTCTAGATGGGTCAGCCTGGATGGGTCAGTCTGGACGGGTCAGTCTGGAGTTGCCAGGGAAATCTGGAGAACGTAGAACCAGGCGTACATCTCGACACAAGGTAAGCTTAATTGCATTTAATGACCACGCCTGAAACATCGATCGGTGTTTTTTATTCTGTCGAGCATCGCCGATGCTCGACGTCGGAATAATCATACGGTTTAATAAAAACGGCTTATCCGTGAAACAATGGACTGTCGCTTGCAGAAACAAGCCCAACGAGGCATCATAGTGATGCAGTCTTTTTCCACGGCAAAAAAGAGTACTCGTCTATCTACTTTGCCTCACTCGTTATTAAACGATTTTTTACTTTGTCGAACGAAATCGTAGTTTGTCTTTTCAAACTCTCGCGTTAGATGGACGGTAGAACTTTAATGAGACACATTGTTTGGATAATCGAATAGGGTAGTTGTAGGCATGGTACTTTTAGTTTTGAAATTCAATTTATTATTAGATAAAAGGATCATTAGGTTATAAATGAATTAGACATAATAAGGAATCTATTTTTCATCGTTTGGGGCCACCAAAATACTGGTTTCAATTATATTTAGTGTTAGTTTTGACGATCTTACAAATTTAATTTTATTACTGTTTTGAAATTATTACAGATTTAAAATTTATTATCTCTTGAAGGAGGAGGTTGGGGCTGATTAAGCATACCAATCAGAAAATATTGGAAATAATAATTTTCTTATTTAGAAAATTTTCCAAAATTTATTTATTGTTACTGGTGCCTTCAATTATAATACTTTAGAATTGAACTTAATATTATTTAAAAAAAGAAAAATAGATTCCTTCTTTCTAGGGTTAATTTCAATCTTGAATTTATAAAAAAGTATGTAAAGAAAATAAATAACAGAATTGCAGTGTTCAAGTCAAAATTTGTTTTACATGAAATTTAATATGACCCGCTTTGAAGCAGCTTTACTGCTTGCACAAATCTTTATTACTTCCTTATGAAAAATATAGAGAAATTTAAATTTTTAACATTTTTATATTATTTGGTTAACGTAAAGTTACTGTGATATATCATATTATTTTGAAATTTAATATGATAGTATTTCAAAATTAATTGCTTAGAATTTAGTGGAATTACTTATCTATCTCTATGCAATGTTTATACGTATTGATATTTATTTTCTGTTTCTACATCAGTAAAAAATTCGAGCTGTACTAATTTCCAAACAAAAACGTTAGTTGTTTTGGTGTTCTGTCCTTTTGTACTTTAAGCCACCGTGGTACTGCAGGGAATTTCATTAATTAGCTAATGGCTGACGTATTTCTCTTGTATTCGTATACGCATCGCAATTCAAATCAGACAATTCTATAAAACTACATAAAATTATTATAAAAAATGTCTCAAATTCTTTACTATGAAAACAGTAGAAATTCATGACAAATACTATTTTTGCACTGATTAAATTGAGAAGACCTTATAAGCAGTTAGTACAAATAAGTATTGATACATAATCTACCGGAAGCCTATTATAGTAAACTTTTCGACACGATTGGTTATTGACAAAAAACCAATCAATAATTTCTTGAAATTATTACAAATTCTCTTATAACTCAGTTGGAATAATAAAGATTAAGTATACCTTAATTAAAAGGAAATTGCAAGAAAGAATTATACCTTTTACTCTTTAGTTGCTGTTGAGTTATAAAGTGAATAATTATCTTTTTTATTTATTGCTGGTAGATAATGTGTTAACAGTTGCTATAGTATTGGTATGATTATAGCAGTTGATATAAATATTATTTATCTCTCCTACAATTGAAAATTGGCATAAAATCAAATTAGTGTCTATTTGATTTTTTAATTCAAACATGGGTATTAGGTATAATTCAATATATTTTACACTTAGCTTGAAAATGTAACTACTTAGCAACAAATTATTTAATATTCATCGTTCAGACGTGTATTTATGGATGTGTTCATCACAGATACACGAAGTTAACCACAGAACTTAATGGTTTCCTGATAATAACAGTTCTCGCACTACTGTAGTTCCAGTGTCTTGGACTTTGACCAAAGCAATGGAACCACCCGCATTTTCGGTCAATAGAAAGTTCTGCTACTTGTCTGCCACAGAACACGAACTTACTTGAAATGTTTAACTTTTGTACGTTCATGTACCATACCAAACGTAGAATAACCGT